CGCTCCCTCAGCACTGACCCTCCGACAGCGCGGCGCTCCCTCAGCACGTTCCTGAAAATGTTGGCTGGATAATGTTGCTTGAATCTGTCAAGTGGGATTTGAACCAAATTATTTTGCCTGGGACGAGAGTGAGTGGGAGCACGGGGAATGACGACTGACTCAGGAAAAGGCCAGGTTACATTCGGGAGACGCTAAAAGACTGTGGACGTTGGAGCTTAAACCCAGCCTGAGGATGGGGAGCGGAGTTTGCAGAAAGGATTAATCCTGGGAATTATCTTCTCTCTTGTTCCTCCAGGAGAAGGATCTCATCCCGAAACTCTTCAAGGTCCTAGCTCCACGATTCCAGGAATACCGAGGGAGTTGCGTGCGGATGGCACAGATTCCGACTCGGGAGAACCTGGACAGGGCCAAGATGGCCGTCATCGAGTACAAGCACAATCCCCTGCCGCCCCTCCCCACCCGGCGCACAGGAGCCAACGAGAAGACCCTGGTCAACCAGCTGCTGAAGGGCTACAGGGAAGAAGCAGCTCAGAGGGCCGCTGCGGCTGCTGGCGAGTCTCAGGCTTCTAGTGCGGCCTAGCCTGGAGCTTGAGTTCCCAGTGAGAAAACAGACGGAGTGCTGAGGTGGGACTGTGCCCCTTCCTGCCCACCGCCCCCCCCACTCCCACAAACGCGTCCGGGATTCTGTTTCCCGGGAATCGCTGGCGCCCTCCAGACTGAAGCTGTGCCTCGCGTATGTCCCTTTGGGGTTCACCTATGTAAACTCTACCTGATATTAAACCTGCAATGTGTGACTTTAACTGACAGCTCCCGGGAATCGTCCTTTCAGGTGCACAGTCTGTTCTTTCCACCCTGCCACTTCCTCATCTTCCAGCAGTTACTTTCTTCGTCATCTCCCAAACCATAACTGACCCTGTCCCAGGCTTGTGAGGCCACTTGCACTGAGCAGTGGGCCATTATCTGCTTGTTATTCCCACTGATTGTTATTGGTTTTGCGGGAGGTGGGCGTTGCTGGCTGGGCCCAGCATGTATTGCCCCGTCCCCAGTTGCCCCCCTTTGAGAAGGGGATGGTGAGCTGCCTTCTTGAACCGTTGCACTCCATGTGCTGTAGGTAGATGCTGTTAGGGTGGGAATTCCATGATTTTGACCCAGCGACGCTGAAGGAACGTCGTTATAGTTCAATTCTCTGATACAAAAGGTCACAAGTGAGGATGTTCGCACAGTGTTCAGCACCATTCACACCTCCTCAGATACTGAAGCAGTCCATCACTGTTATGAGGAAGGGTCACCGGACCCGAAACGTTAACTGTGATTTTTTTTTTCCCTTCACAGACCTGAGCTTTTCCAGCAACTCCTGTTTTTGTTCCTGATTCACCACATCTGCAGTTCTTTTTGAGTTTTTTTTTTCTGAAGCAGTCCATGTTCAAATGCAACAAGACTTGGACAATATCCAGGGTAGGACTGAAAAGTGGCAAATACCCTGTGCACCACACAAATGTTAGGTAGTGACCATCCCCAATCAGACAGATTCTGACCATTGCCCCTTGATATTCAATGGTGTTACCGTCACTCAATCCCCCACTATCAACATCCTGGGGGCTTATATTGACCAGAAACTTAGCTGGACTAGCCATGTGAATACTGTGTCGAAAATTGCAGGTCAGAGGCTGGAAATTCTGCAGCGAGTAACACCTCCTGACTCCCCAAAGCCCATCCCACCATCTACAAGTCAGGAGTGCGATGGAATACTCCCCACTACCCTGGATGGGGGCAGCTCCAACAACACTCAAGAAGCTCCACACCCTCCAGGACAAAGCAGCCCCCGCTCGATCGGCACCACATCCACAAACATCCCACTCCCTCCCCCACCGACGCTCAGTAGCAGCAGTGTGTACCATCTACAAGATGCGCTGCAGAAGTTCACCAAAGATCCTCAGGCAGCACCTTCCAAACCCAAGACCACTTCCATCTAGAAGGACAAGGGGCAGTAGACACATGGGAACACCAGCCCCCTGCAAGTTCCCCTCCGAGCCACTCCCCATCCTTACTTGGAAATATATCGCCGTTCCTTCAGTGTCAAAATCCTGGAATTCCCTCCCTAAGGGGCATTGTGGGTCAGCCCACAGCACATGGACTGCAGCGGTTCAAGAAGGCAGCTCACCCCCACCTTGTCAATGGGCAACTAGGGATGGGGCAATAATTGCTGGGCCCCGCCAGAGACGCCCATGTCCCACAGAGAATTGAAAAATTAGCAACAGACAGGAGTTTCACTTGAAGAGTCAGATCAGACCCGAAAGGTTAAGCCTGTTTCTCTCTCCACAGATACTGCAGGACCTGCTGAGTTTCCGTTTTAATTTCAGATTTGCAACATCTGCAGTATTTTGATTGTGTTGTTCGGCTTGAAGGTGAATGTGCAGATGGCTGTGTGCAGATGGCTGTGTTCCAATGTCCCTGTCCTGCTCAGTGGTAAAGATCATGAGTTCAGAAGGTGCTGTTGAAAGATTGGCTTAGGGTTAGGAACCTTGGCAAATTTCTGCAGTGCGTCTTTTAGACGGTACAGACTGCTGCTACTGAGCGTCTGTGGTGGAGGGAGTGGATGCTAGTGGATGTAGTGTTAAGCAAGGGGGCTGCTTCGTCCTGGATGGTGTCGAGCTTCTTGAGTGTTAGAGTTGCCCCCATCCAGCAAGTGGGGAGTATTCCATCACACTCCCGACTTGTGCCTCATTGATGAATTATGTAAAAGAGCGATTAAATCTGTTCTAGAGTGAGTGAAAAACACATGTTTGCAGCACAGGAGGGGATTGTTGGTTTTATTTTGATATCCTGTGCCACACTGACCTAGTGCGTGTGTCCCTCCTTCGGCATCAAATATTGAGCCAGTTTCTCCCCAGGCAAAGAGTCGACCCTCTCTCAGCCTGTTGTGTCACAGTGTCTGACATCCCTCTGCACACACGTGTCTCTTAAAGACTTGACAGACTTCCTCTGGCCATGCCAGTGTTAAATTGGTGGTAACTCACTTGTGTTCTCTCCAAGGAAACTAAGGAGGCCATTCCACTCACTCCTCGAGCCTGTTGCACAGAAACAGGCCATTCAGTACCCAACCCCTGAGCCTGTTAAACAAGTACAGGTCATTCAGACCCCAACCCACCTTGTGCCTCTTACATAGAAACAGGAGGAGGCCATTCATCCTCCCTCCAACCTGTTACCCAGGAAAAGGAGGAAGCCATTCAGCCCCTTCAGCCCCTTCAGCCCATTCTGCTGCTGAATCATATCACGGCTGATTAGCTTTCTGAGATAACAAGGTGTAGAGCTGGATGAACACAGCAGGCCAAGCAGCATCAGAGGAGCAGGAAAGGTGACGTTTCGGGTATGAACCCTTCTTCAGAAATGGGGAGGGGAAGGGAGTTCTTCAATAAATAGAGAGGGGGGGAGGCGAATGGAAGATGGATAAAGGAGCAGATAAGGTCAGTCAAGGGAAGACGGATAGGTCAAGGAGGCGGGGATGAAGCTGGTAGGTAGGAGGTGATTGACCAAGCCCCACCCTAACTCCCCACCTACACCGACCTTTACTGGCTCCATCCCCGCCTCCTTGACCTGTCCATCTCCTCTCCACCTATCTGCTCCTTTATCCATCTTCCATTCGCCTCCCCCTCTCTCTTTATTTATTTCAGAATCCCCCCTTCCCCTCCCCCATTTCTGAAGAAGGGTCTAGGCCCGAAACGTCAGCTTTCCTGCTCCTCTGATGCTGCTTGGCCTGCTGTGTTCATCCAGCTCTACAACTTGTTATCTCAGATTCTCCAGCATCGGCAGTTCCTACTATCTCTGATTAGCATTCTGACTACATCGAGCTGCCTTGTTTTCGATATTGTTAATCCCCTTCCCCTACAACAATCTGATTGGTCTGTTTTAGGATTTTGCCTATGACCCCCACTTGGAGAAACTTTCAGATTCCCACTCCCCTTGTGTGTGAACATAGAACATTACAGCGCAGTACAGGCCCTTTGGCCCTCGATGTTGCGCCGACCTGTGAAACCAATCTGAAGCCCATCTAACCTAAACTATTCCATTATCATCCATATGTTTATCCAATGACCATTTAAATGCCCTTAAAGTTGGCGAGTCTACTACTTTTGCAGGCAGGGCATTCCACGCCCTTACTACTCTCTGAGTAAAGAACCTACCTCCGACATCTGTCCTATATCTATCACCCCTCAATTTAAAGCTATGTCCCCTCGTGCTAGCCACCACCATCCGAGGAAAAAGGCTCCCACTGTCCACCCTATCTAATCCTCTGATCATCTTGTATGTCTCTATTAAGTCACCGCTTAACCTTCTTTCTAACGAAAACAGCCTCAAGACCCTCGGCCTTTCCTCATAAGACCTTCCCTCCATACCAGGCAACATCCTGGTAAATCTCCTCTGCACCCTTTCCAATGCTTCCACATCCTTCCTATAATGCGGTGACCAGAACTGTATGCAATACTCCAAGTGCGGCCGCACCAGAGTTTTGTACAGCTGCAACATGTGTGTGTCTTTGTGTCAGAAAGTGCCCCCAAACGTTTCGGCCTGTTTTGGAAGAGTCTGCCCCTTGTTCCGGACCCTCTCCGGGGCTGA